TCTGTGAACCCTGTGGCACCACGTTCAAAAGAACGTGTTACATGTGGCGCCACCTAGAGGCAGAAGATGAGAGGGAGGATGAAAAGAAAAGGGGGCATTTCTGCCCCTGCTTTCCTCCTATCTTACATTTCTTGGTGACCGTCACTCCGAAGTCGCCCTCTCAACCACAGCTCATGGATTTCTGCCATCACACCAGAGCACTTAAAAGTCACGCTCAAGTAATGGTTGGGAACAGTAAAAGTAAAATTTAAATTCCATCTTTGTCCCTATTTTTTGATGTTTCTGAACTTGGAGATGTATTAAAATGTTATCATTTGACAAAATCCTTGAATCTTTCCCCATCTCCTCTCGCCTCCCTCCACCCCTGCCCACCCCACCCCACACACCCACACAAAGGAAAGGGCTGGCGACTGGAAGAGTCTGCCCATGCCTGGTCAAAGCTATGATCCATATGATTTTTCCAACCTCCACGACCTCACCCCCATTTGGTTAGGACACAAGAGAAGGGGCAGCTACAAGCCAACACAGAGCTGGAGGCAGATCTCTCTGGACTCCAGGTCACGCGCGGTCCTGGAATCTGGGTCGCTGCGTTACCGCCACAGCAGTGGCAGCCACAGAAGTGTGGTCTCTTCCTTCGCAGACTCACAGGGCTAATCGACGTTTCAGAAATCATTTACACAGAAAATCATTACCAGCGTTTCTAAATTTTTAAAAAGCAGAGTGGTAGGTAACAGAGAAGACTCATTCAGCAGTGACACCAACCCACGTGGACAGAAAACCGCAGGACCCCCTGGGGGTCCCTGAGGGGGGGCGGTCACAGGGACATGGTCCCTGGGGCAACGAGCAAGCTCTGCCAGTCTCTCCAGTTTCCTCATCTGGATATAACGACAGTCCCTTCCTCACAAGGCTTGCGACAAGCAAACGAGGTATAAATATAACTTAACGTGCAGCCCAGAGGAAGTTCCAGTCAGGCCACAGCACCACAAGGTGTTCTCATGAAGCATGGAGCTTCCCTGTTTTTCTAAAACATATCTCTAGTCCTTTTGTTACCACCCCCCCCAATTATTTAGATGAAATGATTATTTAGGGCATTTCACTGAACAGAAGTACACTCAAACTTCCCCAAAATAAGCAAGGTCTTCTCTCAAAACTCTATGAAGGGAGGTTCTTCAGATTCATGAGGCGGAAAATTTAATGACTTGACCCAGACGGAAATTTATTCTAGTGCATTAACAGGTACTACACAAAGGTGGAAATATTACTAGTAAACAGGGGTACGGGGAAACATTCAATTTCTTTAGATAATAAAAATTAAAGTTAAAATATATATCTGTTTTCGTCTATTCAATGAGCCATACAAATATTTTTTGAGGTACTACTGAACCCCGCCAAGACTAATAAAGCCAGAATTCTCACGTTGCCCGTGAAGACTAAGCTGGTGCTGGCCTCTAACAGAACAAGTGGGCGGTCTGAATCAAGAGCCAGAGACAGCTTCTGTCCTTCAACCCAGTCCTTCCACTTCTGAGAATCTAGATTAAGAAAATTTCTCAAAACAGAGGGAAAGTCTTTTGAGGAACAAGTATGAAAGACACAGGAATGAGGACTGGGGGGCGGGGAATGGGAGGGAGGTGGGGAGACGGGGCAGGTGGGGCTGGGATGGGAGAAATAGACAAAAAACTGTACTTGAAAAATAACTAAAATTTAAAAAAGAAAACAGAGGGAAAGTCTCGTCCACCCTCACGTTCAGAACAATGAACACCCTTTCTAATGGTAAAAAACTGGAAACATACATGCTGAGTAATGAGTAAATAAACATTACACCAAGTGAATAGAATATTCACTTAGGAATTAAAACTGATACAGAAAAAAATATGTAAAGGTACTACAATGTTGAAACATTACCTGGAAAAAAGTCACAACACAGTAATGCGTATCCTCGGTGACAATGGGGAAAGCCGGGACGCAGACTTTGGAGACGCTCACCAACAGCGGTTCTGCCAGAGCACTCGCTGTGTGCGTGCGACCCTGCCGACTCTGCCCCTTTCCTCATTTTTCACAACATGTGACTTTATTACCTTTATGATAGAGAAGTTTCCCCCGTCTTAGGAGAAGCGCTCCTCTGCGTGCACACAGAAGAGCTGCCTCCTACCCCACGGTGCCCTCTGCCTTCCAGCAGGGCGAGCGAGAACGCTCCTTGCTGAAGTCTATTATCCTGTAAAGGCCAAAGCTATTTCATACGGAACTTGAGGCAATCACCTCTCTCTGGTGAGACCATCAGCCGCCTTCGCTCTCCTCTCCTTAACTACCATATTACTACAAAGAATCAGAGAACGGGCCTTGCAACTTCTGCGCAAGATGTGGGGGGGGAGTGGCACAAATTCTGAAGAGGCCAGTCGGTTACCCCGGAGACCTCGGTTCAGCCCATCCTGACCCCGTCCTGGCGTACGTATAAATTCCTCAACTGACCCTCAACCGTCTGATCAGCGGAAGTAAAAAAACGAAAGAGAGTTAAACCGCCAACAATAGCAGAACGTTAGGCTACAGTACATCTACTTGGTGGAATAGTAGGCAACCTCAGAAAACAACGATCGTGAATGCTAAACATGGTAATGTGGCAAAGGGCCTCCAATGCAAAGAAGAAAAAACAGTTGCTCAATCATGTTTCCATGACGACGTCCAGATTAAACAGTTTGTGCAGGCTGACCAGTTAACAGCTGATGTTTACCAGGCCCTATGCTGTGTGCCTAACATGCTTTCAAACTTCACAACAATGCTTATTAAGAGCCTCATTGTGCTCATTTTGGAGAGGAGGGAATTGAAGCACTAGGAATTCTCACTTAATCTTCCCAATGGCCAAGATTTAGAGCATTCTGGTAACTCCCCCAAGACCACAGAGCATCTGGGGGAGGAGTGGGAGGACGGCCTGGGAGCTGGATGCATTGCCAGGGCTCGCGCCCTCGACCCCGAGGCTGTAAGGCCATATGTCAGAAATTTAAAATGCAAGTTGAATTTGCTTTAGAAAAGGACTTCTTTTTCTTTCTCTCTATTGTCTAAACTTTCTAGTGTTGTTCTGTTTTTATTTAAAAACAAGAAAAAAAAGGAAGAGCAACAGAGGAGAGGGTTTTATTTAACACATGTGTTTGTGTGTATGGTTTGTTAAATTACGTTTTGATCAAAAGACTAAATAAGTGCCAATCAAGTCCGCACTTGGGGGTTAAGGATGGGAAATGAGGAAAAAAGGATGGAGAACAGCCAAGACGAGCCTGTTCCAAACCAAACAGTGCCAGGCAGCTGCCCAGGCCATCTTTTTGCTCCACAGTCTCATTCCACCACGTCCTCCCGTCTGCGTGTAGATTCCATAATCATGGCACTGGGCTGACAGAGGACACCGAATGTCACAGCAGATGCTGATATGGCACAGCTGCTACTGACAAAGCTGGGAATAAACCTTAGGTCTCCACCCCCAGCCCTACATTCTTCTACAAACTTATCCTGCACTGAATAACCCGCCTCGGCCAAGTACATTTATTGGAGGACACACCACATCCTAAAAATGGCCATTCCACATATCTGCACAGTGTTACTAATGCTTGAGGCTGACAGATTATAGAGTTTACACATGTTATGTCATTGGAAACTCAAATGACAAATGCTATATTTCTAGCAATGTTGAAGCCACACTAGAAACACAGAAGGCTGAGAGAGACCATACGTTTTTTAACAACTGCAAAAACAAAAGTGCAATATGCAGAGTGGGCTATTCACACTAGAAAAAAATCATATGCAACAACCAAAATGACATACTCTGCACAAATAAGATACTGCCAACCCACCCCCCAAAACTTCCCTGCGGGCAGAGGCAGGCAGCAGGAGCACCGGACTCTCGTCCAGGTGAGGCCAGTCTCAGGGCGGGCTGCTCGCCGGAGGAGGAGGCACGTCACTGGGTGGGGGCAGAGGGGCAGGGTGGCAGCGGTTGCTGACTGGCTCCCAGGGTGGACACCAAACACAGTGCTCCTTCCTGTGGGTCAGCAGGCTTGGCCTCAAATGCGGGTACCGGCTATGTTAAAAGTTCAACTGATCGGCCCCTGCCTGGACATTTGCTCAGCTGGCTTCCAGAGAGACAGCAGGCTGAGTCTGACACACGTCTTCCTGTCAGAGAGGCCTGCTGCCTGAAGGCGGAGAAAGAGCCAAGAATCACTGTCCCGCTGCGCAGACCCCCAGGCAGACACCTGCTAGACCAACCTGGGGCCAGTACCCTGGGTGTGCTTCCCCCTCCAGGGGCCGAGTGGAGCTTGCTCTGCAGCGCCACACTCTGGGAGGAAGAGGAACTCACCTCTCCAGGGCGCACGATCCCTAGACACCCTGGACCACCCTCCACTCATCCCAGGTGTCTCCTTTCTCACAGATGACCCCTCACCCAAATCTCATGCACATTTCAGGGCACGAAATGGGTAAGAGGCTGAAGGAGGTGGGTGGGTGAGGCGGATCAGAGAGGCACCCCTCAGGCCCTGGTGGCCCTCATTTGAAGATGATGCCCAGGCCTTTTCAGCTGAGGAAAGAGCATGGAAGCATATGACGATGTAGTCAGTACCATCTCCAGGGTGGATACTTGTCACAGTGCTACACCTCATTTAATCGTCAAGAACACTCCATGACGTACGAGACATGCAAGATGGTTATCAGCCTGGGCCTTGGGGTCAGGCAGCCCTGGGTTCAAATCCAGGTCAGCTGCCTGGTGGTTGGTAGATGGTGAAGCTACATAACTTCCAGGTCTCAGATTCCTTGTGCATAAAGTAATGGCAATGACAGGCCCCAGGGTGGGGGTCCTCTGTGCGCCCAGAACTGTGGCTCTGCTGCCCAGACCACGCCCTTCTGAGGCAGAGCTACAGCGTGGACAAGGACAGCAAGCTGAGTGCCCAGGGTCTGACTACACTGGCACCTCCTCCCTCTGCCCCGGGACCCCCCACTCGACCCCCACCCCAGCAGGGCTGGACACTCACGGCACTCCTTCTCATCGCTCTTGTCGAAGCAGTCGGGCAGCCCGTCACACTGCCAGGCGCCCGGGATGCACCGCCCGTTGCTGCACATGAAGTTGCCCGGAATGTTGCACTCGTTGGTGAAGTTGTTCCCAGGGAGCAGCTGGCTGTCTGTTGGAGAGGGGGACACGGATATCAGAGGCCTCATGAACGTGGCAAGAACTTGAGCCCCCAACTGGAAGGGCTCTTGTCTGGCATGGGTTGTGTAGGTAAGCGCTCGGGCAGGTGACTTGACCTCTCTGGGTCTCGGTTTCTCATCTGTGAAATGGACTGATAGTCTTCACTGCCCCACCCCTGAGGATTCTGGGAGGACTAAGTAGAGAAAAATCGAGAAATATGATATAGGTGTCTGACACACATTAGGTACTTTTCTTCTCTCTCCATCAAGAAGATGGGCTATAAACGTCCAAACATCTCTCCTGGCCAGCGGCGGGCCTGAAAATGAAGGGTCCGGCACAGCAGCGACCACTGGCCTCCCAAAGGCTCCAAGAGCAGGAGCTGCGCGCGCCCGCCCACCAGGCCTTGGACTCCATGGTCCTACAATCACAGAATCCTTGAACTTCGGCCCACTTAACAGGAATACTGGCAGATAATTTCACTTTAGAAAATGGGAGCCCCAGCCCAAAATAGCAATCTGCCTGAGGTCACATGAGGAGGAAAAGCCAAAATGAAACTTAAACTAAGACCTCTAACCCCCAAGGTCACTGAACTGCCTGCCAACAGTTGTTGGAGATGCTGAACCGGGCCCAAGGTTTGGACGCAATCCCACTGAACAAAGTCACAAAACGCCGAGGCCTCACCCAAAGGTGCTCTTGGGCTAGGAAGCAAACAGGGCATGGGAGCGGGGTGCTGAACGCATCCACCACTGGGCTCGCGGGGGCAGATTTGCAAGGGAGCCAGAATCTAATCAGTCTGATCACTGTGATTGATGGCCAGGGGATAAGGATCTATCTGGAAGTAAAACGGTCTCAGGGTAAAAGGAGAGAAAAAGACCAAGCCTCCCAGGGCTCCCTCCTGAGTCATCGATGAGCATTTACTGAACGTCTGTGACCAGACACTTGTGCCAGGTCCTGAACACAGATGCAGACTAGGGCTGGAAAGGTGCACGGCATCCTAACGATCTGTCACGGACTGAGACGGGTGTCCGGACCCCCCCGGGGGTACGGGGGTAGGGGGGCTCATGAGCCTCGTTCACAAGCTTGGCCAATGAGAGGCAGCTCATCCCAGACCCCCGCCATTGCATCTTTCATGCCACTGTTCTCTGCACAGGCTATCATTTTTACCTGGAATGCCCTCGACCCACGGAGTCTGCTCGAAAGTCCCTGTTAGCAGCTGTTTGCGTACAACGTCCACGTGGCTCTCCCTCTGAAGTGTCCCCTGATCTCTCCAAGCAGAGGGGCGCACTCACTCTCCCATGTGACTGTGGTACTATGGGGGTGACACTCAACGTGTCGGACTGGAATGAGTGGGCACCCAGCAGTCCCACATCAGCCCGGTGCTGTGGATACTGCCGTGGGCCAGCTGCCCCACGGTACTGAATCAATCATGGACACGCATATCTCCCTACTGAAAATGAGCTTGCAAAGCTCACTGAAGACTCCTACAACAGCAGCTACAGTGGGGGGCCTTGCCCTGCCCCAGCTGCCCGGACCAGTACCCTGACAACCCTCCATGTCTGTCCCCTCCTCACTCGGTCACCCCCTACAGATGGCCAAGCACCAAGTGTGGCACCCTAGTCTCTACGGCCACAGCCATGAGTCCAGCCCAGGTCACCACCACTGCTGACCAGGGCTCCTCCCATAGTCTCCCAGCCTGACCTCCCTGCCACCCCTCACGTCCCTCTCTGTGGCCAGAGAGGGACCTTTCTAAAGAGCAAATCAATCAGGACCCTTCCTTACTTTAAAAAGTCATTGAATAGTTCCCTACTGTTCTGAGGTCAAAATTCAAGGCATCAAAGAAAGGTTCAAGGAGAGAGGTGGCATTTGTAGTGGACGCTGATGGATACAGAGATGGAATGTTCAGGGCCCTTCAGGCTTAGAGTGAAATAGCAAAACAGTGCAAGAAGGCCCAACCCAGAGCATTAAAGGGTACGGAACAAAAATGAGCCATGGTTGTTAGGAAGTGCAGACATACGGTGCCACTGTGTCCCCTATTCCACCAGCCAGACAGACATCACTAATCACAGCACTGTGTCCACTGAGCCCACACCCCACATCGAAACCCCTCTCGAGACTGGACTCCTTAAAAGCCACCACCCACCCCGAGAAGAACATGAAACCAATTTGCCGTCTCCAGAAGAGGGCTCTAGAGGGCAGAGGGGAAGTTACAGGACAGAAGCCCTGAGGGCCAGCCAGGTGCTGGATCCTGGCCAGACAGGGAACGTACAGCCCAGAAAATCCCACATTCCAGCTGTTTCCAAACAGCTGCCCTGAGCCCCATCGGGGAGCAGGCAGTTCTTCAGGGCTCCAGAACGTAACTATCATGCCGTTTCATTAGGAAATCGCCTACGCGTGCGATTGTAGCACCAGCTCCTCGAAGGCCAGCTCCCTGAAAAGCCGCTGCAACTGTGAAATCTTGTTCTCATAAACAGATTTCCGGAGGCAGAGCACTGGCCAGATTAGATTCCGAAGTGCTTGCTCTGAGACTCAACAGGCTGGCGGCCCGCAGACTTGACACACGAAAGGGTGTGATGCAGGGACTTAAATACCACACCTGTCACAGGCAGGTGGCCCTGCCAGCCACAGGGCCCGGAGCTCTGTAGGCGGGACCAGAGATCCCCAGGGCCTGTTGACTGACAACACAGTGGAACATTCTTCAAGCACCTCTGAACGCCATTACGTATGCACAGGGCACAGGGCCTTGTACTTCAGGGAAATGACGATATCATCAAACTCAAAAGCATGTGGAGAAACCAAGGCAAAGAGAGGTTAAATCCCATTGACTTTGTCCTCGACAATCTTCCCCGAACCCACCCAGTGTGCCTCACTCAATTGGTACCAGCCAATCCACGCTGCCAGCCCAGGTCCTCAGCCTGTCAATGTCCCCTGTCACTGCTCACAGGGGACAGAGGACTCCTGTATTCTGCAGGAGCATTTTTGGTTTCGGCATCTAGTGCAATGCACGCTTCTGCTCATCTGCAATGCACAGGGCCGGCCCTCACAGCAAAGCACCGCCCAGCCCGAAATGTCCAGAGGGCCAAGGTTGAGACATGCTGGCCTAAACCAACCTGCCAACTTTCACTTCTCACTGCCCCCAGTTCCTTCTCTTCACAGCAGAGGGGGATTTTAATGGGCTGCTGATGGCTTCTGGGTGCCCTTACAAGCATCTAGAACTGCTGCCATGGTTGACAAGGCCTGGGGTGATCCTGCCTCCCTCTGCAATGTCATTTCCAACCACTTCCTGGAACACGAATCCTCTGGACCTCAGCTTCAGGCTACTTATTCTGAGACCCTGTGTTGACACCCAGTCTAACGTGGCTCCCATTTCTCAGCTTCCTGGTGCTGCTGACGTACTATCTCCCCACTGGCCTGCACGCCCCCAAGGCAGAGGGCCAGCACTTGGTTCAGTGCCACACCCTTGACATCTGGAGCTCAGTGGTCTCCAGTAAGTATTTGTGGTCGCTCTAAGAAGAAAACCAAGTGTGCAGTTACTTATCCCCATCCCCAGACGACTCCTTGAAAAGTTCTATCTACTTCCTGCCTGTCTCCCTAGAAGGTGAGTGGAATCTACAGCTATATAGTTAAAAATAAGGAACATGAGGGTGTGGGTTTGTGCAAGTAAATCACGACCCTGTCGGTTTTAAAAGAGGTGAGAAATCTCTTCAGCCCGACAGCAGGACTTTCTAGTGGCTGAAATAGTTATCCCATCTCACTGTCTTGGGACACATTTAGAATCCAGAAAGACAAGCATTAGCACAAAGTAGGCTACCTGGGGCTTCTCCTCTTCCCTTTCCTTTTTTTTCATTAAGCTGAGAAATGAAAAAGAGCTGCCACTTCCACCACAGCACACCACTTACTTAAAATACCTACACCATCTCGCCAAGAATGAAAGAAAAAGTCCCCAGTCCTCCCGCACTGCACAGAGGCGAACAGCCTACTGCAGCAGCTTCTTCCGAAATTTCTGGCACCCACAACTTCATTATTCGACGAGGGGCCGAGGCTGAGGTCACTGCAGAAACTCAGACAGCGGCTGGAACAGGCAGCCAGCGGTGTTGGCTTTCCCAGCTGAGAAATGGGAATTCTACTCCAGCAGCTGAAGTCCTCCGCATCCTCCGCTCTCCTCCTGCTCACCTCCGGGACGCGCTCTGGATATCCCACCATGATGCGGTAGAGGACCGACATCTGCAAACTACCGACAGGCCCGGCGTTCAGATTTCTGCCCAATCGCCTCCGTGTTCATCCTTTGCCTCCTGACAACCCAGTCTGCAAGCTCCATGAACAACACAGCAAGACACACAAACACACACAGACTCACACAGATCTTCCCTAGAACCTCCCCAGAGAATTAGCACACCTCTTCCCCCTGCTTGGTGCCAGCACACAGGATGTTAGGAGGCCACTGAAAACAACCATCTGTTTTCCCTTTGACTCGCTTCTTCAAACACATATGCTCCACACACGGCACACGCAAAGCACCGAGAGCGCTGGTCTGCAGCGATCTGTTCGTAAATACCCCCGGAAAATCCCCGCAGGTCCCTCCAACTGCAGACTGCTCCACGCGGTGCCATCAGAGTCGGATGGAATGAGGGACATCTGTTCCAAGCATATCCCAGGGCCATTTGGTTCTCATCAAACTGCTTCCTGCCAGAGTCCTGCTACAGGGAGCACTGTGGTGGTCACCAGGAAGGGAGCAGTCACGTGTGGACACAGGAGCCCAGAGTGAGGCTATGCTTCTGGCTCCGAGTACCTGCACGTGGCCAGGTCCCCAGCTCTGTCTAGACTGCACACGGCCCTGCCCTGTTTGCCTGTCTGGTCAAGGGAAGAAAGTGGTGAGAAGGTGTAAAATGACTCACGGATTCGGCCCAGGACTGGGGACTCTCAGCATGGACGGATTTCATGTTTACACCAACCATGAAGGAAGGTCATGTACAATTTTCCGCAGGAAAATCTATG